GGCAGTGCGGGGGTCGAGGGGCTTAGCCAGGCTCAAGGCAAACCGGGAAAATTTGTGGACGAGAAACCTGCCAAGGGTACTAAATGGCTAGCGATCGCGTTGGGGTCGGCTCTTGGAGAAGGTGGTATGAAGCCCACCTCTGCGCACAGGAAAGGAGAGGTAAAGTGCCCCATACCTAAAAATTAAATTACAAGTTAGTCAGTAAATAGGTACAGTAGGAACTGTCCCCTAATGTTATTATGAAACACCAGCTTTTTAATACTTTGGATTTTTTTTTCTTTGACTATATGGCAACTGTTGAGAAGCAGAGTCCGGCTGGGCTGCGGCACTGGAGCCGGCGTGCGGGGCCCCTGCCGAGCTGCAGCCCGGGGCTCGGCTCTGCCCGGGGAGCTCTTTAGCAATCGTTTGGAAGGCAACACTTCCACATTTGCATGTAAGTTCCCTATGCTCTGGTTGTTTGCATCTCCCTTTTTCTCCTCAGTCAACAGTAACAATTAAGTTTATTAGTATAAATATTAGTGAAACAGAAATTCCAAGCTGACTGAGCGGGTTCCCACAGCAGATAAATTTTACCTTACCCAAGCAAGCGTTCTTACGGGAAGAGCTTCTGTACCACTGGAGGGGCAACGCACCACCAGGTGCCACAGTGAGCCATAGCTGATGCCAATCTTAAAATTTACAACTTGAATATCAAATGATTTTATGATCTTCAGAACATAAATATAAATAACTAATACTTTGCAGTAAGTTAAAATCTTCTTGATACCGCAAGCTGAAAAAGCTTGCTGAATTCACAAGAGTTGGGTTTGGAGATTTATTTGCTCAATTTTTTCAGCTTTCCATTCTCTGTCATACCGATATAATTTCATGATGTGCCATCAACTCACACAGGCTCTGGCAGAGCCCATCAGAAACTTTTCTAACATTCATGGCATTTCAGAGCCCAAAATTTCCATTCTTGAGTCCTCATTGCCCTTTTAAAAAAAGAAACAAGGATTTACTCAACATGGGATTTAGGTCCCTTAACAGCCATTTATGCATCTAAATTCCTCTGTGGAGCTGCTTTTGTATTTTCGTACAGAAAATCAGTCCTCTGACTGCGACCACACTCACGCACACATGGCGACGCGGCATATACCGGCACGGCTGTTGTCGCACACCCCGTAGGCGTTTCGTGACAGCACAGCTCCCCATCTCAGAAATCCTTCCTGCCACTCCGCTGCTGGCAGGAAAATGCAGTAAATGCCTACGGCAGCTTTGACTCATGCTGTAACGCTGTCTGATGTCATCGTACAGAACGCGCTGCGCCCATCCGCCCCCCGGCAAGCAAACCGACAAGACAGACGCCTGAGCCGTGTGGCAGCATTAAGTATACATATTACGTACGTAGCACCAAAAGTGTGGTAGGGAGTTGCGGCTATAGGAAGGATGACGAGGGCTCTGCCTTAGGACCAAGATAACAACTTACAGGTAAAAATTGGTAAACTGCAAAAAGCAAGTGAGCTTTAGTGCTTGTTAATGCCGTAACGCAGTTTTGTGCTCAGTTGTTTTTCCGCATGCTGAGTTTATTGGCTCTAAAGCAGAGGGGCATAATCAGTCGGGGCTGGGTGCAGAACTATTTCAGGATTGCCGAGTGCCTTCGTTAATGGGTTATAACGAGAAGGAAATGACAACGAAGCCAGGTTGGTGCAGTGGAATGTCAGGCGTAAGTCCTTCCCTCAGCCAGAACTCCCGCTGACTCTGGAAAGGAGTTTGGGGGGAGTTCGGGCTCCCGGCTGACACACACAGTAGTGAGGCTTGAACATGAACCCTCACTGCCCAAAAAGTCCCAAATATTTTAATTTTGGTATAATGTTTATTCAAATTACCTGAGGTGATGTTTAGCTAGCACTAGCACTATAAGCAATTACAATTACTTAAATGGGACGACTTAGGATTTTTACATCAGTCCTTCAAAATAACTTGCACCTTTTGTCCGTCCTGGAAGGGCTCCGGGAACCCCACAGACACAGTCACCTGCAGCCCGGTTTGCGGGTCAGCTAACAGGTGATGCACGTGCTTTGCACATAATGATGGGTTTTTTAATTTTTTTTTTTTTTAACTAAATATGATTATATGGCAAGTGCTAGAGGCAGGTGACAGTTCACCCTGAGGTGAATTCCATGGGTTCACTTTCATGTGTGTGAATGAATTTTGATCCAGGCAAGCACAGTCTCAAAACGGGGATGGTTTCCTTTCTTTGGGCTATTCAGACGCAGCGCGTTTGCCCACGCTGACTACCCAAGCACTCAAACTCAGTATCTCTCTAAAGCTGCTAATGGCGATTTTCACGCTGACTGAAGGAGGCTGGGTTAGAAATGCCACGGGGAAGCTCTGCCCCACCGGCTTTCCGCTGTCGTGCTGCAGCGCGTTCCCACGGCAGTGGGTCTGTTAGCTGGGGACGCACGCTTCGGCTGTCTTAGATTGTTCCATGCAATAAACACTTACTTAACTAACGATCCTCAGGGAAGGGCTAGATTAAAGAAGGTAATTCCCTTATCCTCATTTGACCACAAGTTTTCAGGAGCTCAGCGGTCGGTGCCAGAGCTCCCGTTCCTGTCTTGCCCTGGTACCCCCTGACCTGCTGCGGGGCCGCCTCGGCCAAAACCCCACAGCCGGGCAGGTAGGGACGCCGTCGCTTTTCTGCACTCTTGTTACAAGGCAGCTCTTAAGGGGAAAAAAGAAGCAGGGAGAGAAAGACACAAAAAAAAAAACCCAAAAAATCTGCTTCCAAAATGCTTTTCCTATTTTGAGAACAAAGTTAAGCCCAGACCCCAGGAAGCCTGCAGGACTCCCCAGTCTCAGTAATTCACCCAATTTCCCATTCACCGCTTGCAGTTTTTAGCTGGGTGTTGATAAGCTATGACACTTAGAAGGAGTTGTTCATAGCAGCGATCATTTAACAGCTTCAAACCTGTTTTGGTGTTTCCCAAGACATTTTTTAACATGTCCGTCTCTGCATCCACACGTCACGGCCCTGCGGTAGCTCCCGAGGAGGGGACAGGCTCTGCCAGCCAGGGACGGCCCTGCCAGCCCAGCACCGCGGCACCGCGGCACCGCGGCAGGGCAAAGCCCAGAGCCGAGCCGAGGGGTAAGTTCCTAACGCCGAGGGCGTCCCTGGGACGGCAAATGCAACGGCTCCAGGGCTTCCCAAGGGAAGACTCACCCCGAAAGGCTGCTGAGGCTTTGCTAGGGTGGCCTTTTCCTGAACAGGAGTGAAAAGACCTGGGAAATATTGCTGTAAGAGCCAGATTTTTTTAGCTGATATAGGAACACCTGAAAAAAGTGAAATCACTAATGTTGTAGAACACCGCTAATCTTTGCAGGCCAAAAATCCAACTGAAAATTGCAGTACGAAGTATTCAGGAG